TGTTAAGACTGCAAGCGACAACTAAAGGGCAATTTCCATTATGATATAGCGCACGCAAGCCAGTCTGATGAAGACCTAATGCCTTGTTGTGAGGGCGAGATAGAGTCCACGCGGCCGGCGACAGCGCAATACAGTTGAGCCAATCAGCGACGTTCATACTATCGCTGGGCGTTGCACGAGCGCAGTTATCAGTGGGCGCGGAGGATGCCGATGTGGAGAAATTCGGCCGGACAGATGATAGAGTTGTAGCGTTCAGAAGAGCTCGGGGATATTGCCCACCACACTCCAGGGCTACTCAAGGACGACTCTGTGTCTTTGTAAGAGAACTGAAAATGGTTTTTTTGTGAAAAAAATGAACCACGTACCCTCTTCACCTTGGCCTATCTAGTCAAGACTGGTCAGTGAATAGACGCTGATCAGGCTTTACAGTGAGTGACCGATCTCATGAAGTGTTGGCTGAAATTCTGAAATGTGTTTTCGATTGGGAAGGGTTACTTGGGTGCGCTTGTAGTACTGATTGTCTTGCAGCATAATCCTACAATATTTCGGACTCGGCAGGATGTTAGCTTATGAATTCATTGCGTTTTTATCTCCTGTAGAAACCGAGCTCGGCGAAAAAGGACTACTTATGTAGCATGCATTTTTCCACATTGATTTTCGATAGTCTTGCAAATTCAAAGATATTTTACAGAAGCTACGGATAAAATATGCTTTCTTCCAGTCATTTGATAGAGAATCACACCGTCTTTATATTTAGTACTCGAAGAAGGAGTAGAATAAGGTTTTAAAAAAGTTTTCTCATTCCCGAATAATTCGGAGCCTGATCAGTCGTTGCATTAGCGCTTAGTGATTCCAGTCTACCAGGTGCATGCATTCCACGTAAAGCAAATCACATATTCTTCCATACCTTTTAAAAGATATCATACAGAGTCCATAAAATTTTGCAACGGGTGCGGTCCATGTTGTACATTTCATGAGGTGCAGTGATAACTGTACAGGAACGATGCTGCATGAATAGATATTACACGGTCCTACATATTCTCATAATTAAACATTTTTTTAAAACCTAGACATGCTCCTTCTTCGAGTATAAAATATAAAGATGACGTGATTCCTGATCAAACGACTGAAAGAAAGCGCATTTTTTGGTAGTTTCTATAAAAGATGTTTGATTTTGCAAGACTATCGAAAATCAATGGGGAAAAATGCATGCTACATGAGTAGTCATTTTTCTCCGAGCTCGGTTCCTACAGGAGATTAAAACGCAATGGATTCATAAGCTTACATCCTGCCAAGTCCGAAATATTATAGGATTATGTTGCAAGATAATCAGTACTACAACCGCGCCCAAGTAGACCTTCCCAATCGAATACGCATTTCAGAATTTCAGCCAACATTTCATGAGATCGGTCACTCACTGCAAGTGTGATCTATCAGTTATCGAACTGCCACTCAGAACCCTCCCCCCCCCCTCCAGAAGTAACGCTTTCTAGCAACCGTTGAGGGGCCCACCAAAAACTCTGCAGAACAATACCTCCTTTCAAAAACACAGCAGACAGTTCTCCATAGTTTTTCTTCACCCCGTGCATATACTTAACCCTTACCTTAGTAAGTAGGGCGCACGACCCAGGTAAGGGGGACTTTTGATTTCAGTTCGTTTTGCCATGATGATTCAGTAGATGGCGGAAGGACTACCAGGAATGCTGAGATGGTCGTTTCCAGCCTATTAATCATCGTCAGCCAACCATC